CTTATCTATTTTCTCTTTCCGCCGTTGAAAATCTCTTGGGGCCGATGAAAATCTGTCTAGGCGACCTCGAGGCCCGTTCTGCTGGGCTGCACTGGCAGGGCCAGGGCCCTATAACTCCCATATAACGTGGTGGAGACCATTACGGTGGCGCGCTCTGCTGCATCGCCTTCTTTACAGGAACTAAAACACGAACTGCTGCCAACGATACTTGAAACGTACGCGGCTACTGTGTGAGTTCGTGGGTCGCAAGCAGGCCCATAATGTTACAAAAGATAACGTCTATATTCGTGCATTATTCAGAGGTTTCTTATAAGTATAGATTATGAATAATAGTACATTTATAAGACACTTTTCGTATTTCTCACAAATTAGCCAATTTGTATGTGGGAACGTTGGCGAGCGTAACCTGCAGCTGCACCTGGTGACACTAGCGCTTCTTATAGTAGCAACCTCGAGCTTTGTCCCCAGTTTCGATAGAGAGTTGCCAGGCCCTGGGCAGGGCCCTCCAACTCCCATATAACTTGGTGTAGACCATTACAATGGCGCACTCTCCTGGAGCACCTTCTTTCTGGGACTAAAACTAGTGGTGCTAAAACAGCACGCACGTTCACATCCGTTTTTTAACGCAATATTACGCTAAAAGTATTCAGGCTTTCGAAAAATTGTACATGAACATATTTATTTATTTATTTACTTAATAGGTAATTATTACAAACAAATTAGATTACTTGATCCTATGTGGCTAGGCCGAAGGCCTTCAAGCCATTACAATACCTACATCCTTTCGCGTTCTATTCTTTCGAATTCTGGTATTCACCCCAAATGGTCTCTCCATCGCATCAAAGCCGCGGAAAAGAGACCAGAACGTACGGCTTAGGAAAAAAACCCTGAAGGGGGAAAAACCTGCCGTCAGAAGCCGAGTACATTCTAATCCATCCGACGTTTATTTTAACTATTTATTTTCTGGCGCGGGCATCCCGCCGTCTCCTTCCAGTGCTTGGCCTCCTCAGCATCTGAAATGAACATATTTAAAAACCAATCTTTAAGGAACAGATCTCATTAAGGGAAAAATATCATTCTTTCATATTTTTGTTGCAGGAAGATCGTAAAAGATTTGCAATATTTGAAAAATTAGGGTTTTTATCGAATATGAGATCTGCACCATTCTCGTAAAAGTCTTTCACACTAATCAACCACAAAATTTAATCAAAATCCCCAAAGTCTTCACGTAATGTACCCTCTCATAATTAAAATATAGGTTTCAAATTCAAGCAGCCGCGACATCGGCCAGATCGATTGGGAAATATCAACTTTGGAGAAAATCGGCTGACAGTTTAGCCGCTAGCAACTGCGTTGTCACAAACTGACTGACGAATGGACGGACGGATGTTTTGTAGTCATTCGAATTTTCAGTATCAAATACCCAAAAAAATAGAGTTTGGTTACACCGCGTGGTAGAGGAATTTGTTTCTAAATTTAGCATTCGCTGGTAGCTCAAATCCATGCGAGTCCATTATGGGGTTGCGAAAGTTACATACATACTCTCGGAAAGGACGCAAGAGGGGGATACGCTTGGTTCAGGGTTGGCGGGTGGATGCAGCGTAGACTAAAGGACGCAAGTGGTAATTGCATCTGTGTGCTTTGCGGTGATAGGGAAGACTGGGTCCACATCCTCTTAATTTGCTGTGCAACCGAAACATGGAGAAAAAAATGGATGGGAATGGGAAATTACTACTTCCTAAACAGGAACGTAACGCTCGCCCAAAACATTTTAGGTGACAAAAGATCTAAATTTATGAAAGAATTAGGAACATTTTTAGGAAAGGTCCGGACCATTAGGGAAACTAAAATTAGGGAGTGGGAAAACAGCACTGGTTAGCTTGAGCGGAGCCTAGACTGGAGAGAAATAAATAAGTCAATAAGCTAACAATAAGTACGTAATTTTATGTTAAGTTAGTAAACAGTCAGTAAACAGAAATAAGTCATAAGTTGTAGTCAATTGGTAAATAACTGGTCAATACAATAAATAAAATAAAACTGGCATAGTAATAAGCACATTAGGGGGTGAAGGGAAGGGGGGATCGAAAATGTAAGGGCAGAGGCGTTGGTGCGGACCATCTTCTGTGGCGCTGTTTGATTTCAGGTGCTGAGGAGGCCAAGCACTGGAAGGAGACGGCGGGACGCCCGCGCCAGAAAATAAAATAGCTCAAATAAATGTCGGATAGATTAGAATGTACTCGGCTTCTGACGGCAGGTTTTTCCCCCTTCAGGCGTTTTTTCCTGAGCCGTACCTTGTGGTCTCTTTCCCGCGGCTTTGATGCGATGGAGAGACCATTTGGGGTGAATACCAGAATTCGAAAGATTAGAACGCGAAAGGATGTAGGTATTGTAATGGCTTAAAGGCCTTCGGCCTAGCCTCATAAGATCAAGTAATCTAATATGTTTGTAATAATTACCTATTAAATAAATAAATAAATAAATAAATAAATAAATAAATAAATAAATAAATAAATAAAATTTAGCAACTGGATTAATCCACTTTTTCGTTACCATGGCCCCGTAATGATAGCTTCTGACAAAAATTCGCATTTTTTCCCCTGCTGCATAACTCTTCACTCCGTAGCGAGAAAAAAAAAACACGAAATGCTGCCTACGATACCTAACGTGCGTGGTTTCTGCGTGGGTTCGCGGTACGCAAGTAGACTCGTAATGATACAAAAGATAGCGACGACATTCGCGCTTTGTGCAGCAGTTTCTTATATGTATATATTATGAATAATTGAACATTTAAAACACCCTTTTCATATTTCTCATAAATAAGACAATTCATATGAGCGGAATTTGGCGAGCCTAACCTTGCAGCTGTAACTGGCGCTTCCCATAGTAGCACCCTCCAGCTTGTCACCGATTTTCATGTAGAGTTCAAAGGCCCTGGTCGCCGTTTCTCCGCCTTCCCAGGGCACTATAACTCCCATATAACGTGGTGAGGACCATTACAGTAGCGCGCTCTAGAGCATCACTTCCTTATACGAACTACAATACGAACTGCTACCAACGTTATTTAAAACGTGTGTGGGCTCTCGGGACGGTAAACACACGTGCTTGATACAAAAGTTCGCGCCGCTGTTGGCGCTACTTTTTCTTTCAAGCTCGTATTATTATGAATAAATGAATTTTAGAAGATAAACACATATTATTTAACTTCTTTTGTAAGTTATTTTAGATATCGCACATAATCAAAGTGGATTCGTATTTCTTGACCAATTTTTATGTGCGAAAGTTGGCGAGCCTTACCAGCAGCGGTATCCGGTGACACTACCGCATCCTATAGTAGCAACCTCTAGCTTTGTCCCCAATTTTGATGAGAGTTGCCGCGCCTTCCCACCGACTCAGTCTGGCCGTCCTCTCTCTTATCGCTCCTCAATCCTCTCGCCTGTCCTACCCCTCAACGCCCCCTCCAGGAGAGTGGGGGTAACTCCACCTGAGCGCTACGTAACAAGGGGTAGGAAAGGGGATTGTGCACAGGATCAGAACGATCACAGTACGGACTAAATGCGTACTCTGTGCGTCATGAGACACGGCTAACGTCATGAACACGAATACGTCGCCCACCAGCAAAGGTTCGCTACCCACGTGTTGCGTTACATTCCGCTACTCACATGGTTGATTGTTAAACGAGTATATTTTATTTGTAGTTCTTGAGCATTGTGCATGCTCCTGTTCGTAAAATATTTTGTGTGATTTTGTTAACCGGTATTTTTGTTATTGCACTAGTAACATATAAGTTTATAAGTAAAGAAGTGTATAAAAATAAATAACTTTTAGATACATAATTAAAAACAACTTTATTAGCATTGAATCCTAACGCTCATAACCACTTCAGTTCAACTGAAGTCATCGGAAATGTATTTTACATGAGGAATATACTAGAACCCATACTAACATGAATTACATGCATACAAAGATTTACATTGACAATTCAATAACAATTACACGCAAAACTCAATTTGAAACATATTCGCTCTGCCTTTCTAAGCTAAATGTCGTGGCTACTGTAAGTGGTTACTCTCTGAAGGATTAAATATTCGGCTGTGGAGTCGTAGCCTTAATAAGGAATGATTGTTGAATTGTTCCCCTCTATTCATTTCTTGAACATCACAAGAACTTATCAGCATTATAAAGTACTAAAACAACAAACGTTAGAACTTTTCGTTATTCAAATTGAACTAATCAAAAAGAGAAGATGTTCTTGAAATTACTAACAATCTTCAAAAATTATAAGGTTATAAACGAATCAATAGTTTAACAATTACCCAAAAAACAATTAAAATTTGAATATTAACAAAATATAGTAAAACCTGTACAAAACGGGACCTCTGAAAGACCGAAACCTGCCATCTCGGACAAAAATAGTCTCAGATTGGAACTAATTTATACGTGAAAATTACATTTATAAGCGGGAAACCTGTATAACAGGGAATCGGAATGGTTTTTAGCGAACGTAAAGTGATTATTACCTAAGAAGGAAATTTATTTTTAAATTTCTGGCACTGTCTTTGGCAAGATATAGTGCAAAGAGTCACGCCCACAGACAATAAGAGTGAATGACAAATTTTTCCTCTTATACCTGCTGTTCGGGAATCTTTAGCCAACTCTGTGCCACTGTTTCGTTGCAAAATTGTCGCGCTTTGGTGTGATTCTCGCGACTTCCTGGTTGTCCTCCAAATAGTTAAAGTGGGCTGTCCGCACCCGTCCAATTCTCAAAAGGTCATGTGGTATAAAAAGTATATCTGTAAAATCAGAACTCAGGCATCGGAGGATCAGCTTCGACTTCATGGCGGCTGCACCCTCCCACATTGTCGGCACCACACGGCGGAGTGAGAGGGTTTACTGATAAGGAAGGCCGACTAATAATTACAGCTATTTCGCACAATGTATTGTTTAATACTGGAATGAATTGTATATTATCAAAATCTTCCAATATAAAGTAACCGGCAAACTGGTTCAAAGTGATTTTTCCGGGGACTTGTATTGCAATCTCCCTGTCCTCGTGACAGTCTCCGTCGAATAACATGCGTTTGTAACCCTTGGGGCACCCCCCTCGCACGTGCGCACACACGCCCTCAGCTCGACCTTGAAAAGCCGCTTGGACGTCCAGAGCCACCAGGTGATCGTCTGGACAAGGACCTTGCTTCAGTAGCGTGTGGCAGCCGTCGTATCCCGAAACCCACACTTTCTCCTTGTCGAAACATTCGGCTTGACTAGGCTCGCATGCAAATGACGGTATTTTCTCTTTTGAAATCTTCTGAAACGACTCTAAAGGATTGTGAAGGAATGCCGATCGTTCTATGTCAGGGTTCCGAAGATCGGGAACCACGCAAGAACCGTCCTCTTCGGGCTGTTGAATGGAGATTGGCTCGAATAGTTCATCCCGACATTCCATATCTCCTAGAATGTGAACTGTTATTTCTGCGTCCGCTCCGCAAATGACCTCCTGCACTATCTTCTTCTTGTAACATTTGTCGTCGTACGCCATACGATATCCAGAACATGGGTCCATGTACTTCGGACAAGAGCCAACAAGACGACCGGATCTGAAATCAAAAGCAGATAATTAATATTTGACATGTGTCAAATTGTAATCCACATACATAAACCTAATGTATAAATGCACATGTGTGTGAGTGTGTACTTAAGAAAACTAGGAGGAATGCGTGGCAAGCCAGAATTTTTCCTCTTCTAGATTTATTACTCAATAGTTACTCGAATTTTGATAACTAGTAATTCAATTCAGAATGGCACACACTTTCGCAGACTACTGAGATTTTTTATTTCTTCAGTTTGGGCTAGCTTTTTGTTTTCGCTCCACTCTTTTCAGTTGCCATCTATTGCCGCCCCAAGGAAATTTTAGCAATTTCTAGGTTCCTCCTAACATTAGAACTTAAATAAAAATTAAAAAATAGAATTATAGAAGAATAAAAAAATCGTCCTGTACGAGATTTTTCTTTAAAATATTTGAGGCCGTTTTTGAGAATATGGCGTTTGAGCGTTTCTGAAAATGCGCCATTTCATTCTCATTTCCATAGAAAATGTTTGAGTTCATGAGAAACTTTATTGGACACAATTTAAAGGATATAAATTCATAAATGCAATTATGTAAACAAATCGCCGCGAATAGAAATATTAACAACGTTAGAGACAATTTAAAAAAATACATTTTTAAACTTTTTGAAAAAGAAAAGAATAGAGTAGAATGACGTTTATGTCATCTTATGGAGCATATTTAGAATTATCTCTAGCAAAATTTAAAGAAAACCATGCACCCGCTTGTGAGAAATTCTTGGTTTTGTTATTTTTTACTATTCCACGTAATATTGCGTGAAAACTACTAAAATTTTCAAAAAAATGTTCATGACCATAATGAAAGAATTACTTATAGATAACAAATTTTACTTGAACCAAAAATCTAAAAATTTTGTAGTTGTAGGAAGACGCCAAAAAATTCACTCTTTTGCAAGAATTTTCACACTTTCCGCAGAAATATTGTGGATCTCCATAATTGTAATACGAAGGGAGGAAAAAGAAATGATGTTCCACAAAAATAATGTATTAACTATTTATCAGTTACAGAATTACACAGAGAAACACGTTTCGAGGTATTTTACCTCATCTTCAGTGACTTTAACAGGATATTAAAGAAAATCTATAGATTTTACATTTTACAGTTTACCTTAATATCCTGTAATAAATGTTCATGACCGTAATGAAAGAATAAATTATAGAGAACAAATTTTACTTGAACCAAAAATCTAAAAATTTTGTAGTTGTAGGAAGACGCCAAAAAATTCAGTCTTGTTCAAGAATTTTCACTCTTTCCGCAGAAATATTGTGGATCTCCATAATTGTAATACGAAGGGAGGAAAAAGAAATGATGTTCCACAAAAATAATGTATTAACTATTTATCAGTTACAGAATTACACAGAGAAACACGTTTCGAGGTATTTTACCTCATCTTCAGTGACTTTAACAGGATATTAAAGAAAATCTATAGATTTTACATTTTACAGTTTACCTTAATATCCTGTTGAAGATACTGAAGATGAGGTAAAATACATCAAAACATGTATGCCTGTCTAATGCTGTAATTGATGAATAGTTAGTTAATAAATTCTGTTTATTAAAGATCAATTCTTTTTCCTCTCGTTGTATTACAATTTTGCAATTCAGTTTGGAAAAAAATTCTATGAATAGTTCAAGCGCTAGTGTTGTTCATATATACTAGACGGACGGACAGAAGGACGGACGTTTTGGAAAACAGCACTTTTTCGGCATCAAGGACCCCCAATTTCTGAAATCTGACCACACAACCTGTTACTGGGAGTAATTTACTACATTTTAGAAAAATATTTATTCACTTTCTCAAGGCCCCACAATACGAGTTTTTCTGTCGAAAAATTGTCGTTTCCAGTCGCAGCATTACTTAACTTTTTCTATACTTCTCATTCATTACAATACTTCTTTATTTCTCCATACTGTTACAAACGCTCATTTAATATAGAAAGTCTAACGCTCATGCGCACAAGCTGAGCGGCGTTGCCAAACTTCCCGCGCTCCTGGACAAAAGAAAAACGGAAAGTCAGTCTACCGGTGGATGTCGAACGAAGGAGAGCCCGTGTGCTCTCGCCATTCTTTGCAAAACATAACTCCAGAGAATAGTTGTCGTAATTAGCGATACTGTCAAACAAATCAAAATGAACAAACTTGCATACTTTAAAGGTGTTATTTTGTGGTGAAAGTAACGACCAAAATCAAGCCAACGGGGAATTTCGTCAATGGTTGTGGCACCAAAGGATCGAACAATGGATTCTACCTGGAAGTCGGCAAATTGATTCTGTATCTAAACTTAAGTTTGAACTATTGGTACCATAATTTGAGCAAGGCTAGCATTTGCACTCAATGTTATTCATGTACAAATTAGTTTTATTGATTACGTAATAAAAATTTGTTCACAACCCTGTACAACGCATGTTCATACATTAATTGTAATCATTCATTTCACTCCCGTTCATAACCCTCCATACAAATTAGACGGTTCTGAAGTGTAAAGGGAGCTACCAGAGAATCAAAATTACCTACGCACTTCAGAATATATCAGATACGTATTCAAAAAAGTAAAAATGAAAAAATACAAGGAATGGTTCCGTGAATGCTTCTTTGTAAGAATGAATGCAGAATGAAATACGTATGCGAAGAAACAGGTATTTTGTACTTTCGGTCTGTAGAGTGTTGATAGCAAGTAATTTCTTTATTACATATAGATAAATTAGATCTGATATAATTTTCCTGCATTATAATATCCATCTTTTCGCAGTGCTGGTGGTGAATTTTTGCTGTAAACGTGATCTCTAAATTTACTTTTTTACGGTCCTTTTACCATAATTTGCAAGCTAGAGGAGTTATACAATATTCGAGTAAAACTCTTGAGTGTGCAAATGTGCTGATGTGGGAGATTCGGTTACTGGTGGCTACACCACTTCCCGTGCACCAATCGAGACCAATCGAGACGTCTCGAAGTGCTATTCGATGCTTATCGGTCACCTGGTGAGCAACTGATAATTTGTTTCCGTATCCGACCATAAAATTCAAATAAGTTTCACAAAACGTGTTTTTTTGTGTTTGGTTCTGCGATTTTAGTGATGATGCCAGGAATTAAACTAACGCCTCCTAAATCGATCTATAAAGGTGCCATTGATTAAACAGCAGTACCGGAACAATTTTTTAGCAAAATACGCCATAATTTTCTTTCACGACGTTGGCAACACTGATGTTGACATCTTTAAGCAAACAATTGGATTACAAAATAAATCGCGCTGTAGATGGATTTGAATTTAGATTCGAATTAACCTATTTAAACAAAAATTGCGAAAACCTACAAACAGTATTGTCGCGGAACTTATTAAAGTTTCTACTTATTAAACTTTCTAGAATTTCAGGTGAATTCGGACAAAACAAAACTGTGAGTAGTGCTTGAGAATGAATGAACGTTGTGTTCAACTTGCACATCTACGTTCTTACAAAAGTGTCAAAATACCGTTTTTAAATGAATGTGACCGACAACTTAATCAAATTAACTAACACCTTATTCTACATAAAAATACAAAACAATCGCCTTTCAATGTTGGATCTGCATGCAACCCTAGATTCGTATTCAAAACAACTAATAGAGCAATTGCAGAAGGAGAAGTGAACATAAATTAGATTGAGTTTGTGAAGTTTCAATCTCTTCAAAAATTAAGAGAGAAAAATATAGAAGTGTTCAGGAAATCCGGGGAAGAATCAAATGTAGTTTGATATAAGAAGTTTGCAATAGAATTTTCGGAACTAATTGGGAAAAGTCTGCATTTTTGCTTATGTAAATGTGCTATTTGCATAAATGTGCATATTAGCAAAAAAACGGAAAAATGTAGCTGTTCTAAAATTCAACTATTAGCATCATGACCTGCAAGTATTTGTTTCGGAAATTATAATTTTGAAATTGCAATAAGACCAGTTCATATCCTGTATGGAGGTAATATACAATGACATTCAGTGTTGGAAACTTTTGATCAGGAGCGTAACATTATCAGCTACCGCGGTTGATTGGTAAGTCCAATGCCTCATACTGAAAGAACATATTTGAACCAAGCATTAAAAAAAATTTCAACATAAACTATTTTTAAAACAGTTTACAGCGGCGGAATTGCCACATGTTACTAGTATACAGTACTAACCAACATTTAAATATGGTACATACTATGTCAAACTTATATAACTATTTAAATTTTACATAACACCTCACGAGTACATAAACACAATTACATAAATAAATTCGTGCTTCGAACACAATTTATCCTGTAATTTTACATGTACATTTGTACAGTACACATGAGTACATATAACTTGAGTTGTTAATTGGAAGCTACCTTCTTCAATGAACTCGGTCCAACAAAACCTTCTGATGTTTCACTTACCCGAACTCCAGCTCCGTTCTGTTCACCGTGAGTTTACAGTAACACCCCGAGTTTGCATAACAGTCTACGAAATACCGCCCGATGTAATCGCATCTCTCTTGACTGGGGTAGTAGACGAGGTTGTGTCGGAAGCAGATCTTGTCTTCGCGGGTGCAGGGCACGGGGCGGCCGATGAGGGAGTCGTTGGCGAAGTAGCGACGGTAGCCCTGTTGCCCCACGGGGGCGGGCGGGGCAGTCGGCGCGTCGCTGTCACTTTCTACGGGCCATTCCCAAGCCGTCACTTTCCAGGAGCACAGCAGCAATCCCGCTGCCATCCACCAGAGGTCCCTGGAGACGGCGCTCATTGCCGAGTTATTTCTTGAGCGAACGTTCATCTGAAATAATGATTTATTGTTAGTGATTCCAGCCGCGTCTACGTCTTTAGTCCCGTGTTTTATCCCCGGGAGGAAGCAGTGGCCTTTCCCGCAGGATGGCGAGATCCGGCGCCGACTAAACTTTCGCTAACTACTTTTCCCCAAAGCGGAGTTTTCCCCAATTTTCTTTTTTCTCAATCTCCTAGTGATAGAATTGAAACATGACTAAGAATTGTGTAGCAGAGTAAAACCCTAACGCCCTGAGAGGAAATTTTCTTCGAAAAAATTGGAGCCGATTTTGAGAAAATGTTGATTAAGCAGTTCTGTAAATGCGAAATTTGAAGCACCTTTTCAAAGAAAACTTTTGAGTTTTCTAGAAACTTCATAGGAAATCATTTGAAGCGCATCTACTCACGAGTGCAATAATCAATACAAATCGCTGATAATGTTAATATTAACGGCGTGAAAGATATTTTTAATAAAACACTGGGAATATTTGAAATTTTTTCAGTGTGTTACGATTACAATATTAAAGATAGAAACACATTCATCAAATAAAATTTATTCCCCTCTTTACGTTATATAGATTGTTCGTAAATGTTTTAACGTAATATACATTTTTTGAAACTTTTAATAGATTTTGCTCTATTTTGAATGAAATATGTGTCTCATTTCAAAATATCAAAAATATGAGTTTCTCAAAAATGCCTCAAATTTTTTCTTTAAACTTTTGATACTGATAGTTCTAAGTGACTTAAATAAGATGGGGTAATCCCCATTTTGATCTATTATTTTCAAAAATTACACAATATTTCAAAAATTACACAATACTAATTTTTTGACATATCTCTCAAATTGTTAATATTTACATCACCATCGGTTTGTATATATCGTTAGATTTATAAGTACATGTGATTCAAATTATGTCGAATAAAGCTTCTGAAAAACTCAAACGTTCTCTGTAAAAATGAACACGAAATTCCATCTTTTCGCACAAACGCCAATTCCATCTTAACGCACAAACGCCATTTTCCTAAAATACGCTCATTTTATTTACTTTGCGTGAACGAATAGAGTTAAATGAACTAAATAACGTATACATTTGACGTTGACGTAATTTTTTTTCTAAAAAATACACAAAATATGCAAATGTATTTTCTTTGTGGAAATATCCCTCCCGCTGTTAATTTTTAGATTGCGAGCGGTTTCTATACATTATTGAATTCCTGAATCAAAGTTCTTCAAATTATTTTCAATGAAATTTCTCGAGAACAGAAAAGTTTTTTTTTCTGAAAAAGAGCTTTCAGTAGCAGTTATGTAGTGCTATGTAGCAATAGAGGAAAACAGCAACAGAGTGAATATGAAATTATAATCACTGAAGTATATAATTTGTGACATTAGGATTTGAAATTTTAATACCGGCCTAAAGTAACATAGACTATTAGAAACAAATTCTTCTGAAGATAACCACACAATTTTTGTTACTCACCAACACTAATGCACACGTAATGTATTCGAGTATTCTATTCTTCTCACACCAGTGTCCACAGAGGCTCTGCCAGAGAATGCGAAACGTTGAAAACGCAGGCTGTCGAGGTTATTCCAAGGCAAACCGGTTTCTGACGTCTCGCTCCGCAGTTAACAGGTTTCAAGCATCTCACGTGAGTAAAAAAGATGTATCACGAGTCGAAGACACCGTCCATTTTTTGGCGGCAAAAAACAACGTATGTTGTACGTATGTGTGTGACTTCTGTCGGGCGAGAGTGGAGAAAGTTACATTAATTTCCCAAGCGTAAAAGGGACATTACAGCTTTGTGAATCAAAGAAACCTGGTCGCAAAACGCCGATTAATTGGGGCTGTAGTTCCAAAAGTAAGGTGATTAAAATATCATTTAAATATAATAATAATAATAATAATAATAATAATAATAATAATAATAATAAAAAAATACTGAGCGAAGTGTCTCAGTGCGTACGCTGACTTCGCAATCGGGAGACAGGGATTCGATCACCAGGCCGGCCATTCTGACCCGGGTTTTCGTGGATTCCCTCGGTCACACAGGCGAATGCTGGGATTGTTCAAAACGCCCACAATCACCTCCCACCATCATCCTATTACCTCATAGCTCATAAGTCAAGGCTCAGTAACCTTGTTTTAAGAAGGGATACAGCCGAAACACTGATCCGCATAATTACACACGGTAATCTCTCTCCAAGACAGACTATGACTGGGACCCTCAAACGATATATAATATTTTCCCTAGTATATTCAATATGGATCTGCGTACAACATTCACGTTATTATTTTCCACCACCATCCAAAAGACTTCGCTGAAATTGGCAATGTTGCAATGCTGGCTTATAAACTCTCAATATATGGCCTGTCTCTTGCAGAAGGTTCAGCGTGGGACGAACGAGGGGGGGGGGGCGGAGTGAGCAAACATGGCTGCCGGCGGCATGGGTTTCGGGGTTCCGGGGCCCAGATAATAAGGGCCTTTGACTGCAGCGAACCGGCGTGTGGCGGCTCAAAGGCAATGTTTTAGAGCGCGGAGTCCCGCCGGCGCAGATATTGCTTTGGTAGCCCTCTCTTCCCACTCCGCACAGCTGCTCTGCCGCGCTCTCCGCTCTGTTTGTCTGGCCACGCGTCTTTTCCTTCCTTCTTGTCTCCTTATTTTCCTCTTATTTTTTTTAAACTCGCAATCGTTCTTAAATTATTGAGTCTGTATTGGCCTATTTATTTCTGCCCCTTGTTGCTTTTAGGCTTCCGTCACTGCTTAGGTAGTCGTTTCCAAGTGCCACTACCTCAGTGGTTGTTCCCAATGTGAATTCAAGTAACTCTATTCCTTCATTTAGATGTGGTAGACGAGATGTGGCACACGACCGCTTTTACTCAGAAGGGAATGCTCAGAGCCGACATGTCCAAACATACGCTTATTTTTTTAATTTCTCGTACATGTGAAGGAAGGTACACACATAAATATTTTCTTTTATTAAATATGGTACATAAAAGATGTTGTCTGGTCTCAACAATTTTTATTTTGCTAATGATCGTTTCGATTGCGTAGCAATTATCCTCAGAGCTTGCAGCTTCCGGGCCGAAAATGAAGTTCTGCCCGGTTCTACATCCTTCTGAGTGGGATACGCTCTTGGACTCAATGAGAAGCCGCATTTTTAGAATTCGCAGCCGCCGGAAACAAAAACAGGTACGCAAGCTGAAATGTTTATCTTTCATCCAAGCGCAGAATCAAACACATAAGAAACAAAAGCAAGTTCCGAGGATCGAAACGATTAGCAAAATAAAAAGTTTTGATACCAGGCAACACCGTTAATTTACTATATTTAAGTATTACAAGGCATCTCATCAGCGATATAATTAATTTTCTTTTACGTTTCTGTACGAGCAGCTAAAATTTGGTTCGTGCGCTATCCCTCTCGTATACTTTCAGCTAAAAATATCCAGGGCATGTTTTGTCATGTCGCCTCTTACCATCCCTTGTCAATGTGTTCCTGCTGCACCTTACATGCGTGAACCGGGACCCCTACTGGCTCAATTCTGTGTAGGCTGAAAAGGATGACACATACAGGCAACCCAGCTGGCGCCAGCTGCGGTCCGCATGCCGTAGTGGGAAAAACCTGGTGCCATCGACCACACACTTACCGGCGGGGACGTACACAGGTAATGGCGCTGTCTAACTGTAGTGCGTACATGCCTCCAACGCTACCGGGATATGTCAGGAAAGATGGGATGCGTTTAGAAAGGTAAAGCACGGCGGGTGCAAGATTCTCCCATGGAATAGCACGGGGTAAACATCCACTACAAACCACACCGCCGATTAACGATCTCCGGCACGGCTTTCTTCTTCATTTCTTTGTGAATTCACTAAGGTGCAATTTGGCGTTGGGTGTCATACGGAAGGAAGCTTTAGAATATAAGTAGTAAAAGGGGAAAAACAAAATTAATTTTACTCCAAGTGGCATGATCCAAATATCTCTGTTCTAAATCATACTTGACGGTAATTGAGTAGTTTCTCATGTTATAATTTTATTTCAACGGAAAAGTGTGTACTGAACAATTAATTACCAAATTGTTTAACCAACACGCTACAAGATTGGTAATCATGTTATTAATTTATGTTGCCGCTATTAAATTATTTAATACTAATTGAAGCTTAAATATAAGAAAAGTGTAAAAGTGAACAAACCTGGCAATATGTTGCCTTATTGTACTGGTTCTAATTACATTATTGCCTCCCCCCCCCCAGGAGATTCCCCATTACTTTAGTTCCGCAAGGGTTTGGAAAATAAATCGTAATACCAGTGTGGAATCGGATAAAGAACTCATAGATGAGTCACGAACGTTAAATTTTAGACTACCTCCAGAGATACCTTCAAGTGCTATTAGCCCGGCTAACGTCTCAATGGAACAAAAGTTTTCGATATTCCCATGTCTAGAAATTTCAAAGAACGTGGATAAGTGAATAACGGCTGATTATAAGTGGGGAGATCATCCCAGAAAAATGCAATTACCGTACCATATTTTCCCCGTGGTGCAAAACCAGCCTCGGCAAGCGCAGTAAAAGCTCTGAGAACAGATGAACGTGGGTTGCGCCCCTCGGCCATTAACTCCACGAAGGACAATTGACAAGCGAGATAAATGAGAGCCGAGTGATGAATGGGGATCAGTTAAAGCGTTGTGTCACCGTTAACGAGAATGAAAGAGAAACAGGGGTGACTTAAAGCGCACATCACATTCGAACATAATGTTTGTGTGAGCCTGTCAGTCACATGTTGACGGTGATGCAACGACCGTTGGGTCCTGGACGTTCCGGTTTGGGGTTTTTAAAAAAATGTTTCATTACAGAAGAAAATACAGTTATTAAAGACGTATCATTACAGTCGACTCCGTTTATAGTGAACTTCTAGGGACTAATACTTTTGATTCACTATATCCTAGGATGTCCAAAATTAAATAGAATTTCTCCACAATAGTTTGATTTTATTAATATATGTAGATATATAGAAAG